TATTAATATTCCAGTGGTTCAAGCCATATTTAAAACAACTGATGAAGTGTAAGGTCTAAGAAACTAAATAGTAAAACAGATATTATTAAAATGATAAAGGTCCCCAAACCTTAATATTACTCTTAAACATTTCTTTTGAAAATATTTTACTTGTAATTCTTATTTTAATTTTATGTGTATGACGGTATCACCTGCATGTATGTAAGTGTACCTGTGTCATGCAATGCCTGCAGAGGTCAGAAGAGGGCGTTGGATTCCCCTGGAACTGGAGTTATGGATGGCTGTTAGCTACCATGTGGGTGCTGGGAATCAAACCCGGGTCCTCTCAAGAGCAGCCAATGCTCTTAACTGCTAAGCCTGCATCTGCTGGCTTCCCCATAACCATAAAATCATTCTGCACTAAAGGAAGAACCTTCTGCTTGAACATTTTAAGTCAGAAAGCTTAATACAGAAACTTTCCTTAACTCTTGCTAGTATGGACATTGATGCACAATTTTTAAAGAATCCTTAATATATGAGGACTTTCAGCTGCTCTTGGAAAATTAACCAGGAAATGCATCGAACATAAATTTCAAATGGAATCATTCTGATGAATGAAGAAAGTCCAAAATCAAAGAAGAAATTAAACCAGCCTTTAAATTTGTCTTTAAATCTGCAAAATTTCAAATGGAATCATTCTGATGAATGAAGAAAGTCCAACTCAAAGAAGGAATTAAACCAGCCTTTAAATTTGTCTTTCATGATAATACAATAACAATTAAAGAATCTGTAAATAGACTTTATCAGCCAAGCTATGAGAGATAAAATAGTATAATCATCGATAAGCTCCGTTTTCCTAGTGTTATTTTGGCAATGGTCTTCACTTAATTTCCTACAGAATCAAACCTATATTCTTGTGCTAGCCTTTTAAGGCCATACATAATATTGTGTCAGTCTCCTATCTCACCACATTTTCCACATGGTAACTCCCTATCTGCCCTCTCTACTCTCATAATGTAACCTTCCTCACTCAGTAGCCATACCTGCAAACATTCACTAGAGCTTACACCATGTCAGTCACTGATTTACTTTTCACAAAGATACTATGAATCAGGTTTCTTTTCTTCTCAAATAGATGAGCTTTTGAGGGACAGGAGTACGGTAACTTGCCCCTGTGCATGTAGCCCGAAAAAGGTGAGGCTGGGATTTAAAGGCAATGGTGTAGCTTGAACTCACTTTTAATCACTTGGATGTTGCCTCACATAGTTGTGTTCGTTTTGCTGGCCCCTGGAATATTCTTCACCCTGTGTATATGCCAAGAGGCTAAGTTTCCAGGTCCTGATCAAATCCTCCCTACTTCCCTCATGGAATTTTCTCTGAGTACACTATACTATTGTATCTAATTGAAGGCATCCCTGCTCTTGGATTTATAAAATGTAATTAAATGGTTCCCATTTCTACTCTTACACATTGTTTTTATTACCTGAGCAAAGTCTGGGGGCCGTTAGGGTTAGTCATGTCTGAGCAAGGACCTTTCAGTGACTAGAAGATTGATGACATTCACAAATTCTTGGAGCTTTTACCTCAAGATTATGACCAAGGAAATTAGACTTTTAGCCATTCATCAGACACCTCTAGTCTCATCTTTTTTATTTTTGTTATGTATAATATCTTTCAATGAAAAACTGAGAGCATTCTGATGGTGCCTACTGGAAATGTTCATCTTGGAGACAGAAGGCTATATCATTGAAGTTGGAAAAAATTCTAGCAAGGAGGGAAAAAAAAATACTCGGGCACCTGTGTGGAAGCAGGAGGGTGATGGAATGACATGTGAACATACCCACCTTTCTGTTTTCTGCTATCAGGCTTATAAAATGTAAATCTAAGCAGTGTGCCTACTTAGATCTGGGTCTTCATCATCACAGTATACAGTGGGCCCATAGCATGACTAAAATCACAGTATTCCTGCAGTTTTCAAACTATGCTCAGATCACCTCAGCATTATTTTAAGTATGGTCACATCTGAAATATTCTATTCCAACCATGCAATTCTGTAATAGACATTATTCCATATTCAAGGCAGAGGCCCAAGAAAATGAAAATCAATGAATCATTAGATTAATTTCATCTATTTCTAAACTCAATGACTTCTACCTCATTTGTATAGAACAATTTGATAGATAGGGATCTGCCATCATTCAGTAAGGAAAAGACACATTTATTTACTGGTCATCCATGTGAGGGAAAGCAAGTAGATGAAGATGACAGTCAAATTTCTTGGCTGAGTGGTCTGCTGTCAGAGCCAATTCCTCTGAGTGTAAAACACCTTTTAGACAGCACCACAGTTCAGTGGTCAAATGCAGATTTTATCTTACCTTCACCCATTGCAATTCCCTAATTTCTTGTTGTAACAAAAGACATGTTTTAGGAAAAGCTATGAATTTTTCAAAATATAAATTTTCTTATCATCATTAAGGTACTTCCCCAAACATCTACTTTAATTCAAATTTATTATTTCAATACAGGTCTAAAAATACAATACAGATGTCCTATATTCACGGTAAGCATGGTGGGTGCATATATACATGAATTCCACGATGATGTTCATGGTAATTTCTCAAAATTAAGAAATGTATTTATAAACAATGAGTTAAATAGTCACAAACACAAGTACTGTGAATTATTCATATTTCATAGGTATGTGCATGTGTATATGTATATACATGCATGGAGAGGCAAAGATCAATCTTGGGTGCTGTCCCTCAGGAGCCATCTATTTTAAGAAAAGAATGAACAAACAGAGCTGACATAACATATTTGTAAAACATGAAGAAAAATTCTGGGTCTGTACAATGCTTTATGCTCAACCTAATTTTATAAAGGGGCCTTGTGAAATCTAACTTAAAGATACATTTTGAGATCTGGAATTGAAGACAAGCCACAAAAATGACAGAGATCATCTCTGTCATAAGAATCCCTTAAAGTGGGCATGCTAGTCCCCATGCAACCAAAACTCTGGGAAAGTTTTATCTAGTCATCTATCCAATATGCGTCAAGCCCTTTCCTTTATTTGTTCCTCTATAGAAATGATTGTTCAAGTTTTTCTTTGGTTTTCAGTTTTACAGTTTTAATTTGATTTCACTTAAACTTTGGTGTCAGAGTCCCTGGAGGATAGCACATCAAAGACTCATAATGCAGATGAAACATCTACTCAAACAGGTAAGAAAATCTGCAGCATTCATGAAGTCTTCCCAGCAATATAAGAAGGATGAAATGCTGGAAAATATTACCCAGAATCTTAGAAGACTGTACAAAAAACTTAGAACTTGGAACAATTTAACTTTAGAAGCAGTGCCTAAAAAAATAAATATTTAGTAACCTGGTCCTAACATAGAGCTTTATGTGTTCCCTGTGAATATTTTGTTTGACTGAATATATTCATTTATACTTTTCCATTTTAAATTATGTGAAAGTAAACACATTAATATTATGCCAGCAATAACACATTCCAAGGTATATTTATAGTCCTTAGAGTGACCAGTCTTAAAATCATACAGTACCGCCAACCTCCAGAAAAAATCCAGTAACTGTTAGTGTGAAACCCATACCTAACACTGCAGTGACATATGACAACCATATTTACACAGGTGTGCAGGGTGGCCTTCTTCTCAAAGCAACTGTGAACTGGTAGGTGTTGAAACTACCCCTGAACTTGAACAGAGATGATATAATACTAGTAAAGAGAAAATTTATTTTCTGAGTAAATATCATTCTCTCCTGGGCTGCCAAACACAAGGATGAATGAATGTATTTTAAGTCACATTTGGGATTATGCAAGGAACTATAATTAGAAACTTAAATTATTTTTCTGTTTTTAAAGTTATTCAATTCAGCACTGTCTTTCCTAAGTTTGTTCTTGATAATATCCACTACTATACAGAAAAACCTTCAGGCAATGTTCACCTCCTCAAGGCATGGTTTTTCATTCTTAGGGATCAAGTATGGAGCCAGTTCTGTTCAGAAAGTGTTGTTATAGGTATATTTTGTCATTGCTATGATTACCACCGAAGTGGAGAAAAATAAATGTAGATTGTTCTGGCTTTGCAGGTCTATAATATAAATTCCTGTGGGAAGCGCCTCATGAAAATTCATTCTCAGACTGCCCCATGGTTACACAGTACACATTTTACAATTCACATAATAGCCATTTCAGACAACCCACTTGAAGATTAGTTTCAAGGGACTGAAGTACAACTTTCATTATCATTAACTTCCCCAAATCAGCATTGCAAGCCAGAAAAGTAAAGCAAAAAACAACAAAAAACAAAACCATGAATAATTTGCCAATCACATTTCTCTAAACAGTTAGAAGTCTGTCATAAGGGATGCTTAAATTAAAACAACATAGATGGAAACAGATGGTGCTTTGTCACTTTTCTTAGCTGATTTAAAGGCACAGCTGGGAAGGACCTGTCATTTAAAAGCCCTCTTTATAATATAAACAAGAGAATGGATGTTCCTTCTCTTTATCCGGTCCTCCCTTCCTCCCTTTACTCCCTTCTCTTCTTCTCTCTGCCCTTTCTCCTGTCTTTATTTTTTTCTTGCCCATTCACCTATCTGACAGGTAAAATCTTTCATTCCCTAATGTTGATTCTAAGTGCAGTCGATTTATAGCATGAACCATCAGGTAAATAGTTTTGTTGAATGGAGAGGAATTAAGAACCCAGCCACAGACAGAAAGCCAATACTGCACAAGTGGGACCACATGGTACTGGTGACCACTGACATCTGCATGCAGCTCCTTAACTACTACTACTCCTGTGTCTCTGGGATATAGCTTGTAATCTTGTCCCCAGTGACTCCCTCTAGTTTCTTTTTGCATTAGGCATGATAAATGCATTTTGGAAACTGACAGTAAAAGATTAATACACTCACAACCACCAAAGAGACCTTTTACTGATTTCAAATAGCTGCTCTCCCTTTAAATGCCACTCTTCCACCACCATTCTAAGCATACTTACTCACAAAGGCTTCCTCATCCACAGGCAAACGCATGGACATGCAGAAGTATGTGTCCGACTATTAAAAAAGAGAAAGATACAAAATCTAGGTTAAACTGCTGTGACCGAGAGAGAGAAATGACAGCTAGTAAATACAAGGCCTTTAAGACAGAAGAACTGGTCCAGTGAACTGAGGATGCCTGCTGAGGGCTGGAGTAGGTTAGTAGAGGAGCTGAATAATTTAGGTATCCTAAACATTTTTCTAAGACCCTTTCATAAACAATTTTAAAACTTATTCATAAAATTATCATGGTGATATTCTAGAATAAGCACAGTTGAAAGGCAACACTTGAGATGTGAAAATAGTGAGAGGTGGTTTTGAACATCTCTGCTATTGATAAAACTGAAAAACAGTTTCTTGTATTACTTTACATATGTCCCAAATATTAATCAGAGAAATACAACGAACAAAAATTGATCTTAAATACAATATTACATATAGCTAGCTATTCTCTCTTTAAAATTTTTATGTAATTCATGGAAGAAGTCAGCATAGTCTCAAATTATTTTCTTACTCCATTGTTGGTCTCTTATCTAAATGATCACTCCCCTCAACATCAAAGACATTAGCATTAAAACTCTTTAGCAAGCCCAGTTTGGTGGTGCATGGATTATAGTCCCTCCTATTTTGGAAGCTGAGTCAGGAGGATCACGTGAGCCTAGAAGGCCACAGCCAGCCTGAGCATCAAAGCAATATTCTAATTCTAAAAATACAAATTAAAGAACTGAAAAAAGAAATTTTCAGTGATAAAAATTACAGTTGCACGAGAACGGGCTTATGAAGACCTGTGCACTCCAGGTCCTTAATGGAAATCTATATGCAGTAAAGTGTGTGCTATGGTTGATGACACAAAGGTAGGCTACACTCATTTAATAATTCACACTTTCTACATTATTATTGCAAAGTGCTAGAATCAACAGACTCTAGCAACATGGATAATAGATCATCTGAGTGTCTCTACATGTACCGGTTAGGAACTAAAAATTGTGAATTTAACCTAATTATTCAAAATATTTTTACTATGTCTGAGCTACTAATGCTATAAAACACCCCTACTCCAATCTAAAATAAAAACTAGTAAGCTCAAGATTCTTTTATATTTTATTTGAACATCCTGAGCTCTGAGTAATTTAGAACTAAAAAAGGTATTTTGTGACTCAGAACTGCTGCTGGTATTTCTAGCAAATACGCTTATTATGTGTCAATCCTAATCTCATTTTTAAATGTCATTTAATAATTTAAAAAATCCTATATAGTACACAGACACTGTCAACCCCCCTTTAAAGAAATAAGAGAAATAACGAACATTTATTGAAAGTTTACTATGTGCCCAGCATTTGCATGAATTAACTCCTTTCATTCTCAAAACACATCCCTATAACGCAGGTACCTTATTATCCCCATCTTTCAGACAAGAAAAGTGAAGGAAATCACAGTTAAGTAGCTCTGCAAAGATACTCCAGCTCATTGCAAACCGTGTCTCCCTAACCAAATTCTAGCCGTGCTCTTCAGAGCTCGCTTTTCAACTAGGCATCCATCTTAGCCTATTCTTCTGCCCCTCTCCCCATATAACTGCATATAACTTGATCAAACAGTAAGTTAACAGCTAGTGGCGGTACCTCTAGACAACTCCATCATTTCTTAAGAAGCCTTCCACAGTTCTGTCAGCAAAATTGTCTGTACCAGCCCCAAAATAGTACATAGGGGTAGGTTTCTGAACTTCCCCTTAGTCTCTTTGCAAAGCTTACAGTTCTAAGTCTTTCTCTGTCTTTCAGATGTAAATTCACTATCCAAACAGTCTTCTTACATTCAAGGAGGAAAAAACTCAGTTCCTGGTGACTTGCTCTAACTTGCACTAATGCCTCCTGCGGGAAAGACACAAGTCAGTGCCAATTAACAAACCCAGATGGCAGAAACACATGGGCTAACCCTCTTTCTTGGTATTCAGCACACCTTTGCCTTTAAAAGGACTCTTCCCTTTGTTCTGGCAAAGATCAGTTAAGTTCACTCTGGATAAGCTTCCCTACTGGGATAGGCACTAGTGAATAAAATCTATTCTTACCACTTTAGCTTGTATCATCCTGTTTATCTTAGAAACCCATTAAGTACAGCAGCTGGGATCTGAACACAGCTCATCTAACAAATTACAGATAATTCAAAGCGAAGACAAATAATGACTTAAAAGCAAATATAGAAACAAAGTACATTCAAGTGGCTAAGCATGTATTTATAACAAAAGAAACCAAAAGATTAGGATGAAATACAAATGGAACAAAAGCTCTTTTTAATTTGAAAATTGGGGAGGGGGTTATTCTTTGATTTTGTTATAAGCCAGTTTAAGTTGCTTCTGGAATAGGAAAGTTATAAGCTTAAATAGATATATCAAATTATGCAACCTGATTCTCTTGATAAAAGCTAAAACAAAACCGCATTACAGATACATTAATGCACAGAATATAAGGAACTGCTATTTGACTCAGATCCATGTTCTAATTCTTGCTCTTATCAATTACTCAATTTCAAAGTAGAAAAATTAGAAATAACTTTCTATTTTGACTTTATACTCTTACATGATGATTTCTCTAATAATGAAAATATTTAGATTTCAACTGGTTATTTCCTTGGCTTCTAAAGTCAAATGAAAAGAAGACAAAATAGGAAGAGAAGGAAAAAAATTAAAAGAGAGAGAGGGAGAGGAAAAGTAAGGAGAAGGAAGAGAGAGGAAGACAGAAATCCAGACTGGACAGAATACCAGCAGCCTACTGGATTGTTTTCGGGAGAGCAATGTCTATAACAGACAGAGCATCAGTGTTCTACCATGAACCATCATAGTCTGATGTAGGGTCTTACTTATGCCCCATTTTCAAGATAAAGAATAATTTCTATTAGAAGACAAGAATATAAGGCCCCCTCACCAAAATGGAGCATTAAAAACTACAGCACATCTAATTAATAATTTTCCTTTAGCTGAAAGCTCTGAAGACCACAGTTTCAAAAGAACAGAAAATAACTCTTTAAAGGATACAGGTGATTTTATTCTGTAATATTGTGTTACCATGATTTCATTTCCAGAATTAAGCTAAGAGCTCAAAATCTGTGGAAAGAAGATAAGCCTGGGTCATGTGCACAGTGCAACTAGAGAGACAAATGGTTGAGGGGCAGCTTTGGTAATCCTGAGCCTGGAAGACTGTTTATACTGTTTAATTTTATCCACATAAGTGTGCTGTGTGTAGACTTAACAGACAGTGAATTTCTTTGTTTTTCATTTTTTTTAAACAGAAAAAATGAAAACTGATTCACAGAAAGATTACTGTTCTGATCCCTTAAGGCCACCCAGTTACTTAGTGTTAGAATTTATCCCTGCAAGACCATCAGAGATAATGGGCATCATTCTTGTCGTTTTCTTGACATTAACTTTAATCTACTTAAATTGTGATTCTGGCTAGTCCTTCAAAATCTTCAGGCCTCTACTAATAAAATCAAATTAATAACTTTTTTTTTGCAGTATGTAATCTGCTGGAGAATGGGTTGGGAAAGGGTATTTGCTAAACAATACTGAGAAAGAAAGATTATTTAGGTGATTATAAGATATTACTTTATCAATACAGATTAATTTTATAGTATGTCAACAATAATGGCTACTTTAAAATGAAATTTCATGCTATAAGAGGCTTTCAGTTTAAAAACTTAATACTATAATTATTTCTATCCACATGTAACTATGACAAATGCAGTGATCAAGTAACTTTTACTTTATAGCACAGCAGCCAAAGGCAACGATATCATGAAAAGATAGACAACACATTTTTTATATTTTATTTATTATTTTTATTTTATGTGTATGAGTGTATTGTCTGCATGTATGTGAGTACACCCATGTCGTGCAATGCTGAGGAGGTCAGAAGAGGGCTTTGGATTCCCCTGGAACTGGAGTTAAGGATGGTTCATAGCCACCATGTGGGTACTGGGAATCAAACCTGGGTCCTCTGCAAGAGCAGTCAGTTCTCTTAACTGTTAAGCTATCTCTCCAGCCCTGACGACACGTTTTTAAAGAAATAAAGTCAGTGGGGCATGATGGGTCATACTTGTAACCTCAGCACTCATGAGACTGAGGCAGGAGAATTGCCCCAAATCTGAGGCCATCCTGAGCTATTTATTGACTTCTACATCAGTCAGAGCTACATAGCAAGACTCTATCTTTAAAAAATATATTAAGGAAAAAACAACCAGAAAACAAAATTATTACAACACTGATAAGGCCAAGAAGCTATGTTTTTGTTCATGATGAACACTAAGAACACTATTTATTGAATAATATTTTGACCTCATAGCTTTTATTGTTCAACAATACTTAAAGTATTTCAAGCAGTGGGATGACTCAGTGGAGAGGCATTCACTGCCAAGTGGATGATCTGCATTTGATCCCCGGGACCCACATAGTGGAGGTAGAGAGCTAACTCTGGAGGATTGTACTTTGACTTCTACATGTACACACACACACACACACACACACACACACACACACACAGAGAGAGAGAGAGAGAGAGAGAGAGAGAGAGAAATAAAGTACTGATAAAATAGACTTTGTATTCAGTTTTCTAAAACAATTTTCCTTACATTATGGAAAAAGAGCAGCTAAAAGGCTATTTTCTAACCTTTCTAATGTTGGCAAAGAAAATATAAGTTCTAAAGCACAACTTTGGCTGTTTACTTGACTAATGGAAGACATAAGTGAAGATATAAATTTATGAAGACATACAATTTAATAAGTTTTAGTCCAAGTCCCCTAAATTTCCAATATAGCACCTGTGAATGTTTCATGAAAGTTTGTTGATAAACCACGCTGAACTACAGTAGACTCACAGCTATTTAATTATCACCACTTTGTTTCTGCAAAGTAAAGTTATTTGAACATATATAAAAAATTCAAACCAATGTTTCTCTATAATACTTCTGGAAGACACCAAAATAGCGCTTTACTGGCCAGTCTAATAGCTTTTTCATTCGAGCACACTGTC